ATGCCAAGTTCAGGGCATATATTAGTCCCATGAGCACCGAGCAGGATTTGCAATACTGTTGCACCCTCCTAAAATGACTGTCATTGGGACTACCTCTTGCTCTGTGTGTGATCCTGTAACGTAAAAGAATCAGTCCTGCTGTGAGCTACAGTGTGCATGCACCTTGCACGCTACATTTTTAGAGTAAAGTTTATGTAGTATTTTTAGGTTTATGTACATACTGCTATTAAACATTTAAATGGTATAAGGAAATCTAAGTAAAACTTACTCTTTCCCCAAAATTCATGCATTATTGTTTTTAGTGAAGTTTAAAAAAAAAAGAGTAGAAATTATGACAAATACTCTATCAGAGTAAAAAAGTCACTTTTTTTAGTGTAGATTTAGTGGTAGATTTTGTGATGTAGTTTGTGCAGATGTTTGAGTTTAAAGACATCTAGGTCCTTTTTTTCTGCTGTATTTTTAACGAAAAATCCTTGGAGAATAAACTGTTTTTTATGCCTTAAATAAAAAAAAATCAAATTTAGAAGAGGTCAGAGGTACTCAGGATGAAAGTTATTAAAAAGCCTAACTTTCCACCTGAGTGTTTCAGTAGAAGTTCTACTAAAGAGCACCAGAGGAGCCTCTTCTCACTCCCTTGAAGCACTCCATGCTCACTTTATTTGAAAAAAGATATTATTGTACTATCATCAAATGTTTACTAGATTAGTTTACTTTGAAAGTGATAGCTTTATATGCTGGTGGTGTTAGATCTTTATTTGTTGGTAGATAAACATGATGTCAAAAATAACAGAGAATTTTGTACCAATTATAGGTTGGATAAAATATATATTTTTTTATTTTTGGAGAAACATAATAATCTGCTTTTGAGGGCTATCCTTGTAAATTATTAAATGCCCTTCTCTGGAAGAAGACCCACTCTGTCACCATGACGGAATATAGGCTCAGTTGTTCAAGAACCTGGCAAGGAAAGGCAAGGCAGGGCAAGTTCATTTATGTAGGACTGTCACAGTCTTGGTTCTGTTGTGTTTTCTTTTTTGTATTAAGTTTTACTTTGCTCCATGTTTTCTAGTTTTAGTGGTTTAATTCTAATTTTGTTTTGTTATCTGGTTATTTTTCAGTTTTCAGGTTTTTATTTGTTGCCCTCTGCTGCCCTCTTGTGTTCTCCTTTTTCCTAGCTACTTTCCTCTCTGCTCTGTTCACACCTGCTCCCAATCTGCTTGTTAGTCCTCTCTTTGTTCTGTCTCCCATAAATACACTCCTTATGCAGTTCCTCAGAGATGGTTCCTCGTCTAACTTCCTCCAACTCCGTCTCTGTAGCTATGTTCACACTACAGGCCTTGATGCTCAATTCCGATCTTTTTGTAGAATCTGATTTTTTCACGTTGCCATTCATGTTTCCAAATATATGCGACTTGTATGTGATCTCCTATGTGAACTGCAGTCAAACAAAGCAAGTGTCCCGCATGCGCAGTAGAGGACGCAATGACGTCACAGGCCAGCGTGCTCTTTTTTTCCAGAAGTAAACATGGATGGTAGTGCTGGCGCGCATCTAGCGGTCTTTTCCAACCATGAAAACACAATCTTTTCAATATGTTTAAACATATTGTTGGGTATTAATGACGTTCAGGTCGGATGAATACGACGTGGCCTTTCAGACACAGGTCGCATTTGAAAAGATCAGATTCGTATCGGATTCAGCACCACATAGCCAAGAGGCCTGGGTCGCATTGGAAAAAATCGGATGTGTGTTGTTCAGATCAGATCCAGGTCGCATGTGGGCAAAAAAATTGGATTTGGGTCACTTCAGGCTGCAGTGTTAACATAGCCCCTGAGTCTTCCTTGTTTTTTCCCCTTATGTCTCCATGGTTTCTGGTTTGTTTGACTTTTTTCACGTTTGATTTTTGGATTACTGCCTCAGTTTTTGTTAACACTTCATAAATCCACAAGAAACTCACCTCTGCCTCCCTGCCTCTGCATTTTGGTCCTCTAACCACAACCAAATCCTGACAAGGACATTTCAGTAGAAAGGCAATTCAAAGAGCTGTAGATGACAAAAAGGAAAAGAAAAATACATGGCTGTGGTGAAATAACACACCACAGCCAATGAAAGCCAATAAAAATGTAAAAGCCTGTAATTTTTAGAATAAGATTATAGGAAGTTGGACTTCATGTTTCATGTTTTATGTTTAGATGGAAAATTCAAAGGTCCCTCTAAATAAATACGTTTTTATTCCCTATTAAAAGATTTCAGACCCTTTACAGTTTTCTCGAAGTTAATTCCAGATTAGTGGAGCATATGAACCTAGAGTTTAAAGAATCCATTCTAACTTTACACATTTAAATAAGACAGAAATGTATCGCTCACCTAGACATGCTAAAATGCATTCTGGGGAAATAATGTTTTAAGGTTTGATGATGCAAAGATTGGACACCATCATGCTTTTGCTGCCACTATTGTGGTGCACTGTAAAAAGTGAGTGGTGAAATCAAGATGGAGGATCACAGGATCAACCAGTTATTCAACTTTGTTTTCCAAATAAGCTGCTACAGCATCATTATTATTGACCCATAGCCAGGGCTGGATTTGAAAGGATGTTATCCCCTGTTCTGAAGTCAGTTTGTTTGTCCGGTCAACAGAAGAAATAGTTTATTCATGTGAAATATAGTATTTTTAATTACCTACAAAAGTCTAGCCATAAGCATTAAAAACAACACACTGAAACAACTTAAAGGTTTCCGTCTATGTGAATTTGATCTGTATAATGATTGGGTTTCACTTTTTAAATTGAATTACACAAATAATGGAATTATTTAATAAATTATCTATGATAGCATTAATGTGAAAAGAAGCGTTTGTACACCCTAATCCCAGAGGTTGATAATCTGGGTCTAGAAAGTAAAAACCCAGTTTACAGTTTTTTTCATCCATTTCATTTCACTTAAGCAGGTGATCAGCCCCCATTATGTGTTGTGGAGCTGGAAATTAAAATGGATAAAACTAAGGTCTGTACAGGTTTTTGCTATCCAGCCGTGCCTAACCCATCATGTGCACGTCTCTATGTTCATTTTCACAACTTGTTCAACTTTACTTTTCCTTCAAATGTACAAATAAACACACCTCTCTGTTATGACCTTTTGGTGTTAAGATTGCTTTTTGTTGAATGGGTGTATCCATATAGATTTTGTGTTAGGTTTTGTTCATTACTTATGTGCTTTGACCTTTTTTATTTGAGTTTACCTTTAGTTTGATACATTTTTCCATTGGTTTATAGTCTCTGACTCAGTCCAATATTCTTATTATCCACCATCCTTAAGCTTCCCCTGCTCAGCACTCTCCTCTCTGAGCTATTCAACTTTGCCTTGATTATTTTACCAGGTTGTTATTCTCCACTCCTCCCTCAATATATAAGCTCACTGGCTGCAACTATTCGTTCCTGCTTCCTGCTGTTACACCAACTGCACTCCATGGTTTTCTTTTCCTGTAATCCTTATCAGAACTGTCATGATGGGTCTCTGTGATTAAACCCACATGCAGAACACCACAGGAAACTGAGTAAAAGTTTAACAGTTTATTTTGGTAAACACACAGAGAGTAAATATGGCACTGGTTCTGGTACAGGTCCGGGACTGGGTTCACAGAGTAATCTGCAGAGAGGGATTGTTTGGTTAGCCAGAAAGCAATGGTGTCTTGACAGAGTTTGATTCTGAGTTGTACCTGATGAGGTTCAGACTGATCGGTGGAGAGAGGGAACCGGTTGGGTCCAGAAACTGTGGGTTCAGCAGAGAGCTTAGCAGCGGCAGAGCTTAGCTTCAGGCTAGCGAGGTTCAGACCTTGAGTTGTTCTCCAAGTTCTCTCCTGAGAACTAGCAGGGAGATTCAGACTGAGGATCTTCAGGTTTGGCTTCTTAGGACAGGCAAACATGAGCTCCTCCAGAGCTACAGACTTCAATCAGGTTTCAAATAAGGCAGAGAAGACATAGGCTGGTTAGAATCAGGGTTACTCTCCAGAGCAGACAGAGATTCTATGTTCAGGCTGAGGCTCAGGTTCTGCTAACCAAAACTGGTCAACACTCCGGCGCTGAAGGGAAGTCAAGCCGCTGCTTAAGTAGCTGGTCTCCTGATGAGATGAATCAGCCTCAGGTGTGCAGGTGGCTTCAGCTCAGGAGACCCAGGGCGCTCTCTGCTGGAGAAAGGTGACAGATCTCCAGATCCCAACAAGAACCAGGTTTTTGTCAGTCAATTTTTGCATGTGGGTCCTCCGCTACTGCTAAATGCGACTGTTCCATAGCTGCATAATGGAATATCTATAGCTATGTATGTATAACTGCATATAATTCATAAGATTAGTTCTTCAGGCTATTAATATCTTCCCTTAGCATATTGAATGTTATATTTCAGTCTGCTCTATCTATCTTATTGTTTTGGTTGATCAAATTGTTTATCTGAAGTTGTTCTTTGTTTGATTTTAATCACACTTATGCATTCATGCTCCTAATGCTAAGACCTCATGTTATTCTGCATGCTCATCACGTCTTGTTTTAATGACTGCTGCAGGTTGTGCAATGAGCCTTTGTCTTGACCTTCTGCACACTTATGAGACGATCCAGAAGAAGAAAAAAAAGCATCAAGTTAATTTGAAATGCAGCAGAATGTAAAAAATAAACCTTGCTGACCATTCTTTAAGAAACAAACATATATCTGTGGTTCTGTCTCAAGGTTAACTGTATATTTTCCTGCAATAAAAACTATCCTGATTCGCTGCTACCTTTAAGATCTCAGCAAATTTTCCCATAATGAATCTATTTCTTTCTACATCACTGTAGTGCTGTTCTGAGTAATTTCAGTCTCTAAGTGATGTGACTGAGACATAAGAGAGGAGTGGAGGAGAGAGGAGAGTCAGCCCCTCCCCTGCTGTTCACACCCCTCGGATCGGATCGGATAGCAGCTGGTTGTACTTCTCCCCTCGGAGATCTGGTCTGCCCAGCAAACTCTGCTCATGTGTGTTGTAGCAAACTGACAGATGGGACCACTGATCTCCACTGCTCACTGCTGGAGAAGAAGAGGATAACCCCTGATATCATCAACTGAAGGTAAAGCAGAGGCTGTTGGGACTCTGCCAGTTGGGACAAATATTTATTACTCTGCGGAGGAAGACAATGACTGGATAGTCACCACGGACCAAGTAAAACCTGCATGCTTTATTGTTTCTTTTGTATTTGACACAATGACATGCCTCTAATTGTATGCATTTCTAGGATATTCTCACAAACCTCACTAAACTCACATCTTCCCTAAAAGATGCTCTCTGTTCTAAACCCCAAAGTCAAATTCAATGTATTTGCTCCGATTTTGTCACAGACCGGCAAAAATTACTTTACAAATTATAATGTTTAAATGACCATACGTAAAAAGTATGACGTGAAATTCAAGTCAGACTTCCAGAGCTAACACTTTATAGAACCACCGTTTTCTGGAACTATAAGTGAAGAAGGGTATAAAATAATTTATCCTTTCTGCTCTTAAAAATTGTTCATATTGAGAGTGTATGAGAATTTATTTTGCGCTGTTTTGTCTCGGTTTCTTAAAGGTATATCGGAGGACATTCTTTTTCCTGGGTGGATCATTAAAATAGGTGGTCATCCTATTGTCAATTATTCTGGTGATATGTTTATGTAAGGCCGTCCTACGTGCTCGTCACCATTTTCACTTACTGGTGGTGAGTCTCACATAGAGGAAAAATTGCAAATCTTCTTTTGGAAAGTAAGCTTGGAAAGTAAGCTAAGCAACAACTTTTAAACAGAGCGTGCATGAGGAGAAATGGGCTTGTGCATGCTCCCACACTCGTTGAATAGGTGTTCCATCTCGGAGGTAAAGGGTTGTGCATGTACATTTTTTTTTAAAGTGGAGAGGGCGGGTCTCTACAAAAATATGCAAAAATCCTCCACTATACTTTTAATTGCATCTTAGGGTTGGATTTTGACAGGTTCATACCAATACATGATTATGCTCGCATCTAAACCAATCCTTAGGTGTTTCCCTACAACCACATACCTGACAAATCAATGGTGGATTATCAGGCTTTCATTAGAACTAACCGTATACTGAGCTAATGAAGTCTTTTACATGGGGTGTGTGGTGTTATTGTTCAGTAATTTTATTCAAGATTAATGATGTTTAAAAGCTCCAAAAATGTTGGGTGTGTTACTTTAACGTTTCTCTACACTGTGTGTTGCAATACAGCATTGAGAATTTAGAAAATAGGATTAAATGCAGTTGCTATCAGCAGTGTAAGTGATTAAAACCATGCTTTATGTACTGGTGTCCTGAATACCCTGTTTTGAATGGGTATCAATCCAAGATACCAGCTAAGCGAATAAACACTAAAGGAGTATACTAAAGGAGTTTTTCTAATTGATTTTATTTGTGTTTGCTCAATGGAGAGTTGAGTCCCAATTTTCTGCAAAAAAAAAAGCTAGACTGCTTCCTATCCTTCTACAGAACCTCATAATCCAGTCCTTTAATCTGCTGGAAGAGAGGCCATAGGAAGAGATCTACTCTAAAAGCAATCATTTTTTACTATTTTCTTTCTGCTTAACAATCCATAATGCTGTGTTAACCAATTGCATTATATCTCAATACAACAGTTTAATTTGATATCATGTACATTGTTTATTCTTTTTTTTAGAGCATCAAGAATCTGCTCTGGATATTGGTTCCACAAATTCAGGATCGTGTGGAAAGAGTCCCAACATCATGCGGGCCTCAAGAAGATGCTTCCTCCTATTTCTGCATCTAGCTTTAGTGTTTCCTGTGGTTAGAGTTAATCGACTGCTAAAACGAAAGTCTCTGGACCACAAAAGACTTTGTGTGTGTGCTATTAACATCATCAGCTGCTCTAATTTACACCTAGAAAATGTCACTTTAAATCTTCCTAACCATACATCCGTTCTGGACCTCAGCTTTAACAACATCACAAAACTCCTTGCCACGTGGACCCTGACTGACCTCAACATGCTACAGACAATGCTGCTGAACAACAATCGTCTCACCTTTCTCTCCTCCGAGGCATTTGTTCATGTGAAAAAGCTTCGTTACTTGGATCTCTCTTATAATGGCCTTACCCTACTGGATGAGTTCATCTTTGAGCCGCTGGAAGACCTTGAGGTGCTTGTCCTTTTCAAGAACCACATTTCTAAAATTGATCGCACTGCCTTCTCTAGCATGGGCGCCCTACAGAAGCTTTACATGAGCCACAACCAGATCTCACGCATCCCCTTGGAGGTGCTAAAGGAGCGAAGCAAGTTGGATACTTTTAAACTGCTGGATGTTTCCTTCAACAAAATCAAGGACCTGCCAATAAAGGAGCTCCAGTCCATGCGTGCCTGGATGAAGAATGGTGTCTACTTTCATAACAATCCTCTTACATGCAGCTGTGAGCTGTATAAACTGGTGGCAAGCTGGGACATCAGAATGTTAAGCTCTGTCTCAGGGTTTGCAGACAACCACACATGTACAATGCCAGACAAAAAGACTAAAGAAATACTGAACATCACTTGCAATGATGACAAGATTCTTATAAGAGAGGCTAATCTGGAGCAGAAATTGCTTCTTGACTGTGACACTAGACAGAAGTACATGGAAAAGAGATGGGTACTGCCAGGGAATATCTCAGCATCTTCAGCAAACAACACCAAGATCAAAGAGGGTGGTACTTACCTGGAGATAGGCCCACTAAAGCTTGAAGACTCTGGGGTTTACACCTGCTATGCTAACAACAGTTCCTTAATTGACACTGTCCAAATTACTGTGGTGGTGTTAAACTACACAAAGAGCCATGGGCTGGAGGATCTTAAAACAGCATACACCACCCTGGGAGCCTGTGTGATCAGTGTGGTTTTGATCCTTGTCTACCTTTATGTCACACCCCATTGCTGCGCTTGCTGGTCAGGTGAAAACACAGAGAAGGACGACCCTGGAGAGAGCCTGCACTCCTCAACCGCGAGCCTCCCTCTGGCACACGGAGAACAGGAAGCGGAGAACGGGGCCTTTGCCTTCAGATATGAAGCATCGCAAGAAAGTAAGGATCAGCTGGAGCTGAATGGGAGACTAAATCCTATAGGGGAGGAAGACGACGAGTGGTCGAGGGACAGCAGGAACAAATAGAGGTCTGAGGAAGGCCACATTAGTTCTGGGAGCTCTGATACTCCCATGATGAAAAAGTTAAAATCAGTAAAGATCAAGTGTTGCTTTGCATAAACTGTAGAGCAACTTTCAATCACAGCTTTTTTTCCACACAAGTAACAGGAATGTTTCAGTAATACACCACTTTCTACAGTCAGGGTCACTTCTGGTAAAGATTTGCACAAAGCCCTAAAATATTATTTGATTTCATTTTATATTGCAGGATATTGAACTTGAATTGCTTTCAGAAATCCAACTTTTGATTTGAGAATCAGAATTTCATTGAAAACAAATCTCCTGTTAAGAAATAATTATCTTGAACAACTTCACCAGTTTTACACTTATATAGGCATGCGTGATGTACCCTCTATCTGAAATGTAAATGAAACATTTTCTATGTAATACATCTTGCTTTATTTTTATGAGAGTTTGGCCAAAGGGAAGGTCCTTTTCTCCAAGTTTTATTTTAAAAAGAGAAAAAAAAAACGGATTCAGTTAAGCTAGAGATGATAACCATTTTTACGAGGAAAATAGTGATGGATATAAAAAAAAGAAAAATCCCAAAAGTCCCTGTCACAAAAAGTCTCCATGACTATCCCTGGATGTTAACTAGTTGAATGGGTGTAGTGTTGGGAAAAGCTTTTTATCTCTTTAAAAAATATGTGCAGTTTGATGAATATAAGCAAACCTTTAACTGGAGGTTTGTGCTGTGATCAGGTCACGACAGCCTATGTGACAGCATATCCCATAATGCTTTGCAGGGAGAGCTCTCTAAACAAAGCATTCCGGGATATACAGTATCTGCTCGTCTAGTGACCATGGAGGATCGCTAGTTTTCAAATTTCAATTCCACTACTTTTTCATCCACTAGACGCTCGGACACTCATTTAAAACGCCGTAACCACTATATAGTGCCCTATATTCAGACACAGCCTAAGATTGAACGTTTTTGGCAACACCATGCCAAGCCTGCATGAAATGTAAATGTGTGATACTGCTTATCAATAGATCCCGAAAACCTTGTCAAAGAGTTCAACAACTTCATTTTTATCAATACCAAAGGAATTTTAGAAACAAATCTTGTCTTAAGTCACATTTTATCAGCGATGGGTCGTTCAGTATGATAATAATCAGTAACATGAAACCAAATTGACAGAGAAACTGTTCGTACAAGACAAAGTCAAGATCCTTGATGGTCATTTCAGACATTAATCATAAAGTAAACTAGTTATGAACAAACACAACAAGATTCAAGAAGACCCAGGACTATAGATAAATAGACCGTACCATAAGAAATGGTGAAATAATCCCCTCATTAAGCTCCAACTTTAAAAAAAAACCAAATACATAAGGGCTGGTCTATTGATAAATGTCATAATGGGATTTAAAGATCTGACCCACATGCAGAGAACCACTCAGAGACCAAGGGTAAAAGTTAACTGGTTTATTGAGGGTTAGCAAAACACAGATGGAGAGAGATATTCTACTGGGTAATACTGTTGGACCTCAATGGACTGGTGAACTGGAACCTCTGCAGGGGAGATCACAATTATCAGTTCAGGGACCGTGGGAAAAAAGACAGACGCTTGTATATTGCAAGAGAGGTACTCACGTTTGGCAGGGCGCTTGGTTATTCCTTGGATCCAGTTTGTGGGGTTAAATCCAGAGAAGAATTAACTCGTTGGAGAGTGGACAGGCAGACTAATGTTGGACCAAGAGGAGTAAAGTAGCGGACTGTCACTTGGTTTTCCAGAAGTTGACTTGAACGGATCATGTGGAGGTTTCCCCTTGCTTAGTGTCACTCAGTTAATCCTTCTTGGGGGGTAGAAGGTCCAGGCTTATCCAGTGATACAGGAAGGCTTCCTGCCGAAGAACAAAGACAAAGCAAGTTTAGACTCAGGGAGACAAGGCTAAGGTTGGACTCTGCTAATCTCAGTTTGGCTAGAGTACCCAATATTGGCAAACACTCTGGCGTCAAGGTAGTGACAGCCCACTGCTCAAATACTCCTCTGGTAAAGACCCAACGAGCCACAGGTGTGCAAGGAGGCCCAACAAGAACAGGGTACCATCTGGTAATGGAGAGAAGAAAAACACAAAAACAACCCACACAAACTGGAATCCTAACAATAAAGCATGATTGCAAAAAGTGTATAAATCAGCACATAAGCAATCAGCAAAAAGCTTTATTTATTCTTTATTCAAGAATGTTGCTTTAATAACAATTTCAATTTAATACAGTTTATTTATATAGCGTCAATTCACAACACATGTCATCTCACTTTACAGAGACAATTCAACCAGATCATACAGTCAAACTGATTTAAATTTCTCTATTTAAGGAAAAGCATTTGACTGCATCCACTCATGACTCAAAGGCAATCCCTGACACTAAGCATGCTTGTAGCAACAGTGGAGAGGAAAATCTCCCCTTTAACAGTAAGAAACCTCAAGCAGAACCAGACTCAGTGTGAGCGGCCATCTGCAGAGGCCAACTGGGTTTCAAGGAGACAGAAGCAGAGCTGGCTCCGTCCGCGAAACACATAGCTAGTCAGACAAACTCCGAAGCAGCTTCCATGTCAATAACAAAGTGCTACACATTATTAAGTGTGCAAAGCAGATTTGATTTCAAGGCTTTTCATAAATCTCTTTCAGGATTGCCAATAAGTGTGAAGGACAGTGTATATAGCTTTAATGTATCACTATTAAATTCCTAAACACTCATAAAGCCAAGTCTTTCTAACTAACTGTTTGCATTTATAAGGAAGGTACTTGGAAATGCTTTTAAGATCACAAACACTGAGAAACAAGGAACTCCGAACAGACAAACCCACTGCATGAAAAGTGAGATTTTCGTCCCCGTAAACCCC